GTCCGCATATTGTGAACACTGGGGGGCACTACAATAATTAGAATTACGTTTCTTTTTGTCCGACGGACCGGCACCGGCATAAATGTGCTCCATAACAGCTTGGTTCGCTCGCTACGCCTATGGTTGCTACGGCGCCGCTCGCCCAGTTGTCTTGCTTAGGGAGCTTCGCGGCGCGGCCGCTAGGGGCGCGCGCGTGAACCTTTGGATCGCCAATAAAGTTAGGCTTGAAGACGTTACGCTTGAAATCAAGCATGGACTAGAAATTCCCCCATGCATTTAGATAGGGGAAATCTTGGCGGATGAGCTTGTTACGCTTGATTTCAAGCGTAAACTGATTACGCTTGAAAACAGTGGGTAATACTACGCTTTAGTTTTACCAGTGTAGCGCTTACTTTTGTTCTTGCGCTACGAGAATCATGGGAGTACCCAATGAACGCGGTAGCGGAACAGGGACGCTAACGATTTCCTCTTCGACGCTCTTGTCGCAAGCCCTCAACGGTCTAACTTAAAAATTCTAAGGAAGAAAATGTTCCATTACTGAACGGGTGGATAACTCGGCCAACGGCTTGGCGTACTAACTGAGAAGTGGTACAAAGGAGCTCTAACACGAAATACAGAGAACCTGCGAAAACGGAAGTCAGCCGCCGCGCACTGAAAACTCAAGCGTATACCGAGTACACACGCGCTCTAACGTAATTACTGTTGGCGCACTTAATTTTTCAGTGCGTACCATTCACATAGAAATCGTCATTTCAGACCCGCGTTTGATCTTGGGGCCCGAACTCCTGCGAAGAACATCCCCACGAAGAACATAACCAGGACCCAAACATCGCTTCTGTGGATATTGAGAGAAGGGCGCTTCTCTCGGATGTGCATGTAAGTTACGCCGGGACGCAGGGGAACGTCTGCGCAGGAGCTGGTTTAGGTGTTACTATTGTTCTTCTGTCTGTCTCAAGATTCTTTAAAATACTCTTTTGGTGGACGTCGTCCTCTTACCGATATTCTTGGGTTTAGCGGTGAGAAGCTATCAGGGCTTCAACGGTTCACGATTAAATAGGGTACTTCGGAGGAAACCCAGACCGGAAGTCCGCGACAGAACGGGAGAAACAGAAGAACGTCGCGCGGCCGTGCTGAGCGGTGATGGTGGGGTGGAAATCGGCGGAGTGGGGGTGCAGGCGGCGCGCGCGCACGCTACCCCACACGTCTTGATACGGGACCACAAATCGCCGCCGCGCAGGTCCCCCTGGCGGCCGAGCCGAGCGGTGCCGAAGAGTGCCGAGCGGCCGGAGCCGAAGGGGACTTTGTGCCGTGCCGAGCACGGCAACCTGGGGCACGAAGGAGCCATAATCATCGAAATAACCTAACGTAAATGCTAATAGTTTTAACATCTATTGGCCAGGGGAAGATCTTCGGCTTCGATGCAGAGCTAGATTCTGCTGCAGATGGAAATGCATGTTCGTCAGAAGGAAATTGTAGTATGTTGGTGTGGACAGAAGGCTACCTTAATATTTTTAAAATAATTTGTCCAACCTATCCTAATCAAAACCAAACGGGCTCGCTACAGATCTTATTCTCATCGCGGCAGATCTATTTCTAATGTCAACAGATCTTAGCCCACTCTATTCTCAAAATATTTCATGCTATAGTCGCGACAAGTTTCGGTCACTTGCGACCTGACCAACTTTACGTAACCTAACGTACCATATATAAACCAAACCTTAATATTCTTAAAACATATTGTCCAACCCAAAATTTGAACATAACTAAAAAGGATGGCTGAAACCGAAAAATTAAAAACAGGCCAGTGTTTGAACCACCACCGCTCAGCACGGCCGCGCGACGCTCCTTTGTTTCTCTCGTGCTGTCGCGGACTTCCGGTCTGGATTTCCTCCGAAGTACCCTATTTTAGCAAAACAGGCTCATCCCTGTGCAGCCGATCAAAAGCATGAATGAGGTTTGACACTGCTTCGCGTCTACCATAACGTACGGGGCCTATCATTACGCATTTTGGCCACTATATGAACCGCGTTATGACCCCTGGCAGGGTATCTCCCCTTGTTTCACAGCGTTACGCTGGCTGTGAGCCATCGTAAAACAACCTGTACCATTAAATCTAGTGGTAATTTTTGATTTGATTGAACATGTTATGTTTCAACAATTTCTTGCACTTTATCTTAATCATCTTATCGGAAGTATGGAAATGTCGGCGCCGAGCGATCTCCGATATGCTACCTTTTTGTGGTGTTTTCGTTCAATAACTGTTTCGATGGCCTGGTTTGTTCTTATTCTAGAGGTGCGCGAACGACAATCACCATCAGCATGTCTCCGACATCGTTGAGCTATAGTAAGTTGACTCATCTAAAGGTTCTTAGTTAATTCAAAACACTATTCACGCAGTAGCTGGCGTACACCTGCGAGTCCTGCGGTCCCAAATAGGTTCCTGGTTTTTCCAGGTGGTCCATAACAAACGGAAAAGTGATTTGCATGAAGTCCTCTGGGACAACCAGGATCAGCACCTCTTGAAACGCCTTTTTAACATGGTGCCTCAAAACTTTTTTTCGAGGACAAACTTGTCTTTTTCTCCAAGTTATGTTCCAATTACAGCTAGAATAAGCAAAACAAGCAAGGACAAACTTGTCTTTTTCTAGCTGTAATTGGAACATAACTTGGAGAAAAAGACAAGTTTGTCCTCGAAAAATTTGTCCTAAAAAAATTATTTTTTTCTGGACCCAAAACCACCTAAGCCCAGTGGTAAAATGACCCAAAACTTAAATTGTTCACAGTTCCTCTAATAATTGCCTGACATGGCTGAAATTTTGTGGGGGTGTTTACCTATGGGTAGGCACCATTTGAGACAAAGAGGAGCGAAATCGCCGATGGTCTACTTCAAACGGCCCTGATATGCCCAAATCTTCAGTAAAAATAGTGAAATTGAGCAACTTTGAGAGCCCGTAGCATCCAAACCCGACGTCGTAGAGCCTCGTTCGACACGGCATTCGAAAGAGCGCATTTTTTTGAGTATTTGAGACCCATTTGGGTACTTTTTTGGATCTCGGTTTGCGAGAACCCATCTAGTCCCAAACCCTCGAAAACAGCTGTTTTTGGGGTGTTTAGACCCGTACCAAAGCCACAGGGGGTGTCGGATTTCGTCCAAGTGTCTTTTCGGCAGTTCGTATACATACAATGAACCGATAAAACACCACAAGCGCCCGCTCCTAGGATGTCGCCGACCAAGTGGTTTTTTTTTGTCTGGAGCTTCTCAGTGAGATTGTGATTCAAGACGTAAGACTATATTCCAAAAACACTGTTCCTGCTGGCTCCACACACACCCTTACTCTAAGCTTTCCTCCAGGCGACTGGACTGCCCGGCCGCCCGTCACTCGGCTCGGCTGACGCCCTGTTCGGCTTCCGCGGTCCGCGGCTGATACACTGAGAGTGAAAAAGTCATGATCAATACCCAATTTTGGGCGAGGTTTACTTTCTCACCCAAATTTGGGCGAGGAATGTTTCCTCGCCCAATTTGGGCGAGGAAAGCTTCCTCGCCCAATTTTGGGTGAGGAAGGGTGTATCAGCTCCCTATGTAGCTCCATAGTATTATGACCCAAATTTGGGCGAGGAAACTTTCCTCACCCAAATTTGGGCGAGGAAAATTTCCTCACCCAAATTTGGGTAATAAAGAATTCCTCACCCAAAATTTTAGTCATGATCATGACTCTTTCATTCTCAGTGTAAGTAGCGGTAGGGTTTTCTATTAGGGTTAGCAGTTATGCCGCGCGCCGCTTCCCCCAAATCGTCAAATATTTAAGTATTTACATGGTTTCTTTTACTTTTAGGTAAAAAAAGTACCTCGCTTTTCTCTCTCTCCCCCCCCCCCACAAACTGGACGAGTCGGGTCACCTAAAATTGATGGAATATAGTGTATTACTTGCATTTCTTCTGCCAAAACATCGCTTGAGCGTTCGATACCCTTTGTACATTTTTTCGGGATCTACTCTAATTTTTTCGACGGTTTTGGTAATTTAGACCGCCGTTTGAGCATGATGGAGTTAAGATAGATCAAAGCGGACTGAATTTTCGACCAAAGGTCCTTAAAATCACTGAATTAGGCCAAGCAGCGGGTGGAAACTATATTGCCGAAAAAGACATGCAAAGGTTTTTTGTGCACCTTAGATCTCGGAACCCAGAGGTGGTAGGTGAAATCCGAGGTCATATTTGGAATCCTCAGAAAATTTCACTCGTCGTAGGGTATGTTTAGAGCGGGAGGTCAAGGAAATGGTCGGTCATTTTGCAATGAGAAAAAGAAAGAAAGGAGAAAAAACGCTGTGGGACCATGATCGAAACGTTGCATTGTTTTGTGGTAACACTTAATGCAAGAGAACGGGAGCTCGTAGGTAAATTCTGAGGTCATATTCTGAATCCTGAGAAAATTTCCTGTGCATTACGCTGCCTTGGAGTGGTCAACACACCAAAATAACAGAAAACCGTTACCGTGAAACTGCGAGAGGGTATGCAGCGATTGTATTGCATAAAATTACAAAACAGTCTGCCGTTGACTGCGTGTTCTAAAGGGTACAGACCCTCCTTCTTTGAAACTTATAGGTGGAATGCACACACGAAAGCACGCTGAATTCATATCTGTACTCAGAATTTGAATTGGCCATACCGTTGTCTCACATTAAGCATGACCAAATAGCAATTTTCGGGATAAAGCGTAAATTTCGATCCTGGTCCCAGAGCGTTTTTCACCTGTTTTTTTTACTTTCTCATGGCAAAATGACTGACCATTTCCTTTGCCCCTGGCACTAAACATGTCCTACGCCGAGTGAAATTTTAAGAGGATTCCAAATATGACCACGGATTTCACCTACCACCTCTGGGTTCCGAGATCTAAGCTGCACAAAAAACCTTTGCATGCCGTTTTTGGCAACAGAGTTTCCACCCGCTGGTACGACCTTGGGATTTTAATTTTAAAGTTTTTTCACCAGTTCGGTCACTTTAAGTCGGGGACCCACTCAAAATCACATTTTTCGAAAATAAGAGCTGGTCTAGAGGAACGTGGTCCAGGTATCTCCGTCCCCTGGACTACGTAATGTCACGTTCCTGGAATGAGAGTGTTTTTCTGGTTACCATCAGAATTCAAAACGATTTGAAAACCGGATTTGCGATCAGAAAGCCGCTTTTTAATTGTAAGATAGGCTCAAGACACAAAAACAACAGTGAGCTGTATACGTGTTGGGGATTTAAGATTCGCAAGACAAACGTGGAAATCAATGATATTTATTACACACTGTTGCACATAACGGAGGGATATGAAAGGGGCACTGCAAGAAGAGTTCAACACTGGAGCGCACCAGTAATCCCACGCGATCCACGCCCACTACTTTCTATTGCTCTGGATTCATTATTCGCAGGAAGCCACATCCGGTGTAAGGTGGGACGTCGATTAAACATTGTTCACTATTACAATACATGCTAATAAAATGAAAGAATTACAGAGGCCAAAAATAATTCCAGGATGCGTTTTGAGGCTCCGAGCTCCCTCAACACATTAGGAGCCACATGGCTGCATACCTGGACGGACTAATACATGGATTTCTGTAAATGGGTGTGGAAAATTTTTCCACAGAAATCCATGTATTAGTCCGTCCAGGTGAAGTCACCAAAATCAGGGTAGCAAGGGCAAGTGGTGTCGCACTTTTGGCAATACACAGTCACCAGTAGCTTGTCCCTAAACTGCTGCTGCTGTTGCGTGCACGTATTCTCCGCGTGGCAAATTTCCTTCTCCACGTGGTGTCTTGCCGTGCCTGTGCCTCTCAGCAGCACCACTCTCCTGAGCGCCACCAGCCCACACTGCTGCAGCCCCTCGGCCAGATCCCTGAAGTACAGCGGCGTCCTCCCATCGTCGTGGGTTGAGCACAGGACTCTCAGTTCCAGGAGCGTGGCGGCGTGCGCCTTGGCCAGCGACAGCAGGGAAGGCAACGACCAGAGGCCGACGGTCAGCCAGCGCAGGCCGCGATGCAGTGCAGGCACCGCGGGGAACGAAAACTCGACTCGTTCCCCGTGGAAGTTGTACAAGGTGAGTTTGCGCAGGTTGGGCATCCGCTGCACCGACTCCAGCATGTCCACCGGCACGTTTCGCACGTCAAGCTCCTCGAGTTGCAGAGGCAGCCCGGCGAACGCAGTGCCGTCCCAGCAGTTCAAGTGCACGTACAGGTAGCGCAGGGAGGGCATGCCCCGCACCACCTCCAAGTGCTCGCGGAGGGCGCGCTCCATGCACAGCCACTCGACGTGTGGAGCCACGCGCTGCAGGAACAGTTTGCACCAGGTGGGCTGGGCGTCGCAGTCCAAGCCCTCTAGCTTTCTCACCTGGAAGCAGCACAACCAAGGCGAAATTACTTTGAATTTCAGTGCACACATTAATGCGACATGAATGTTGAGTGAATTTAAATGAACCACAGCCAAATTCCATGAATTTGGGTACAAACTTGAAGGGGCAGCCACTGCAGGAAATAACCACAACAAAAGTACACAAATTTCTGGCAAATTTTTTACCAGGAATTTAGCGTACTTTTTAAGTACAACAATTGTTGTACAAAGTACAATGGAACCGGCAGCAAAAGGTAAAACTAACTGCAAAAAAGTAAGTTAGTGGATCGTCAAAAATTGACTACATGACACCCATATTGCTCCCGTGCATTAAAATGTTGTCCTAGTGTCTGTCTTAACTTTCGAGGTAAACGTGAGCATTACAAGAATTTAGGCACTACACAACAAGAGATCGTAAGCCTCAACTCTTATAATGCTAACCTGAAATTTCAAAAAATCGCCTCAGCCAAAATTTTGAATATTTTTTCAAAAAAATTTATGTGAGTGGTCTCTGAGTGGTAGGCCATGAGACAAAAAATTGGGAGCCGTATCTGAGCAAGTGCGTTTCAGACCATGATGGTTTGACGTGGAATGCCCCAGTGGTCTGATGATGAGTATCTTCTACTTCCTTACTTGTGTTTTGAGTGTTTTCAGCCTGTCAGGATTATGTTTCGAAGAGCCAAATCAGGGGCAGCTTAGACACACGGTTTGATTACGATTCCACCTGTGTAATGAACTTACAATGACTTGGCTCTTCGAAACATAATCCTGACAGGCTGAAAACACTCAAAACACAAGTAAGGAAGTAGAAGATACTCATCAGACCACTATGTCTATCTTGGGATCATAGCTTATCCCATTCTTATATACACAGGCTACAAATGAGCCATTTCTCCGCTAAAGTCCTTCAGACTACGGAGTGAAATTTACACTTTCTTTCATAGCTCCCAAACCAAGTCTGTGCGGATGCAATTGAAATTTTGAACAGGCTGAAATTTTGTACAGTTACTAGGACCAAGGAAAGGTACTTTCTAAAATTTTTTCAATTCTTTTTCAAAAATATGTTTTTCAGATCTAGAAAAAAATTAAAATTCAACTTTTTTCAGAAAGTAAAAGTTTTTCAAAATTCTTGAAAAAATTCTAAAATGTTGTCATCATGCTCCCTAAGACCTGGTAAAATGTTCAAGTCAATAGGTCAAGCCCTTTCCATCGATTTGTACCTTCAAAGTTGGCTTTTACCAAAAAGTCGCAAAACACACTATGGCCCACTGCTCCGGACTGGGTCGACCTAGGACCTTCAAAACTTGTGGGCATCTTTCTCTACCCTAAGGGTACATGTGGTAAAATTTTGGTCCAGATCAGTGACAACAAAAAAAATAAGAATAGGGTACGGATTCTTAGAGTTGTTTCCCATAGGGTACGACAAACTTTAGGTTTACTACAGACAACACGTATTTGCCGTTCCCACAGAGCCCAGCAACGTGAGGTATGCTCTCGCTCTCGGGTATGCTGCCTGCATCTCATAAAAAAGGTCCACGAAGCTTCGCTGCGTAGTACAAAGAAAACGAAGGCATTGTGGAATCTACGAAGAAATGCTTAGAAGCAAAGTGTGTCCTAATACAAACATGGCTTCAGGGAGCAATTTCGTGTTTTGAGAAAAACGCGATCAAAGTTGGGGAAACTGGGTTTAAGGCCAACAACCTGCAGGCTTTTCAGTTTCAGAATGTGGTTTCCGATTTGACGCAGAAAAGAACTATCTATAATAAAAACCAATGAAAAAAAGAGCAGGTTTTGACCATTTTGAACAGATGTCCCCCCTCCCCCTAAACCGTGCAAGTTACATGGGTATAGTGAGGAAGCCGATTGTAGTTCAACCAGAGATCTGCAATGGGCTCGCTTACTGTACCCGGTCATCTGTGACGATTTAAGAAATGTTACTGAATAACCCACCGGCCGCGCGTCGTCCCGCGTGCAGCATACCTGCGGTTTGTTGGGCTTGCGATGCGAGAATCGACATTTCGAACCCTGTCGGTAGCCTTGTTCAGAGATTTACCTTAGACAACGCGGAGTCCTGCAGAACGTCGTCCAGCTCTCGGCTGTGCTTCTTTTGCTTGCTAAGTGTGCCGACGTCCATCGTCTCTTCGGAGGGATACACCTGCAAGCAGCACGCCATTAAAACTTGCCTGCTCGACGCGGGCACACTAAATATTTACCATATTGTTTTTTGACGCAGATGAACTTTTCGTACAAGTTTAAACGTTTTTTGCACAAAGATCGAGACATGTGTGCAGCTTTTCGTACGAAACCCGGGTGGAAGGATCTGTAGTGAAACTGCAGTTTAAACTATAGTGCCAAAACTACAGTTCCTGAACTGCAGTTTTTGGTAAGAACAAAGTGCAGAATAAGTCCAGTTTCAGTTTGCTTATGAATCTGTAGTTTGCTGTGTATGCAAACTGCTTTCTAACTGAACTGCTATTTATTGACCAGGTATTAAGTACTATCTGTAGTTAAAAAGTGAAGTTAAAAGTTTTTTAATACTACTCTACTTTAATAGTCCACTACTGAAGATCCGCCTACACTTATATCTGCAGCAGGATCTACAAAGGAAATAAAGTTTCTGCTCATACCTTTTTACACAATGACAAACTAGTTGAATGTTTACCACAATTTGTAGTAATTTTTCGATTAAGGTATAGTTTAAGATGTCAAGCACTGCAACTTGAAATGAAGAAACAAAAACAATTACATTGAGTGATTAAAATAATATAAGGATTGAAAAGGAAATACTTAGAAGTTTCAGTTATTTCTTTTAAGGGGGCACACCAGTGAAAATCGTCAAATTTTGGCCTTCTGTTTAATTTTATCCTTTTTTTCTGCTACTCATCCCGAGTCGAACGCCGCAAACCTCACATCAAAATTTCAATTACTTTGGCTTGGGCACATTTTTGTAGGTGCCAAAAAGGTAACTACTTTTGCATATTTCACCACAATTGTTAACGTTCAGGTGATTCACTTGAAGTCCAATGGCGAAACCCCCGGGCCATCCAATCGCAGTTGGAAAAAGAAATGTTTTGGCGCAAACCGAACTCAAATATGTCATAAATTGCGTCCGTAATCGGGAAAACCGCGTGTAAACCGTTGTTTAACTTAAAACGTCATTTTCTCGAAACACCAATTTTGGACCTGGTGCCCACGACTGCGGGCGCAAAAATTGAGGTAATTGAATGCGGTTTGCGGCAAAATGTTCCTTCATCTTGCCGCTATCGTGTGAACCTCGGATATGGTCGTAGCATGTACAGGGCCTGAGCCACAGACACGGAAACGTGAAAAATATGGTCAAAAAATGTGTTTCTTTTTTTTGCTTCTCAAAAAAACATATTTAGGATTGTGTTTTCGACATGTCCGTGGTTCACACGATAGCCACATGTGTCCTGATGAGAAATTTTTAAACCCCATGTTTCAGGCTCAATCGAGGGCTTCACAAAGTTGGGCAAAGTGGAGCCGTGTCACCGAAAAATGACGATGCCCCCCCCCCCCGTCCCGTCGCCGCCCCTGGCTGCCGTGTACTTTTTTGGTTAAATTGACATATTTTATAGTTCAGAATAAAATTTCAACCCATTACCTTCGTTACTTTCCTCAGAATAACGTTTTTACGAAGGCTCTGCATTTTCACTGGTGTGCCCCCTTAAAGGTTTACGTTGAAATACTTGACGTTGCAGACTTTTAGAAAACACGACTAAACTTTCATATGAAAACCTATATGGCTGGATGTAACCAATTCTTAAAATACTATCTGGTAATCTGTTTGCTTATTTTATAATGTTCCGTATTGGTCAGGTAGCATGTTAATCAGCACAAAGAACTGTACCGTCACTCTTTAAAATTGTGCATAACATTTAGTACAGTGAGCCGAAGGCATTTCGTACCAAGACAAGAAAGAAAGACTACAAAAAGGTCTGATATCTTGCTGTGTCCTGTACTTTGAGGTTTGATCTATGTTAAGGTAGGGGTAGGTTGGGGAAGAAAAGTACAAACCGCGTACTTTGCACTGTACAGAAGTTCCAAATGAGGATTCGACTATTCTGCTCTCTTGAACTTGTAATCCAATGCCTTCCTAATGAAATGGATCACTGTCTGAACTACAGTAAATCCCGGCAAAAAAATTAACGGGATTTACTGTGGTTTTTTCGCACAGTGTAACTTGACATGTTTTTCACCCGTTCACCTACCGTGAAAAGGGGATAAGTGAATTAGCTGGTTTTTCACCTGTGTTTTCCCATGAAACTGAGATATAGACTAAGGCCTTCTGTGATGCTAAATGTTTTTAAAAACAGTTAACTTCTAAAAACTGAGTCTTGAGATAAGTCGACTTAGCTCACTCATCCGCTTCACAGCCCACCTTAATTCTCAAATATAATTCGTAAAAACCGCGAATCTTCGTGTATGTGCGAATAATCTAAATAATTCACGATGAATGTTCGTGGATTGACGAAGAACATTTGAAAATTACCAAGATTATTCGTGAATTCACGAAAGTGCTCTGGCTAAAATCTTCGCCAGAGGCTTCTTCGTATATTCCGAATATTTATCTTTACAGTTAAGTGTTGGTGAAAATCATTATGGGCAGGTTGACTTTTAGCTCAGCAAAATGCATCCATTAGTCCACAGACAGTGGTGCACAGTGAAATCCCCTGAAAAAGTATCTTTATAACCATAAAGAGTGTTGCTTGCTATCTAGCTCTAATCGGTAGAAACCGGTCACCGGTCAAATAGACCCCTATCCACAAAGGCGTTGACCACCTTTTGATGCAAAACAGACTTAAACTAAAGATTAACCACAGTTTCGGAAAGATGTGAATTTGAAGTCTGTTTTGGGATGTCGCGGGGAGACGTTAAGGGGGGAACCTGGTGAAACTTTCAAGTAGGCTTCAAAATAATCCCAGGAAGTTGAAACTTTGCTTAATTATGAGGTTCATTATGGTGAGTTCCCAAAACAAAATTCAATCCAAAATGTTGAACGGTCTCTGAGAAAAGTGGCTTTTTAGTGTTTTTTGGTGCGTTGGGGGAAAATCTTCCTGCGTCTTTCTTTGAGACGAAAAGTCTTGTAAATTTTTTTGAGTTATCCTAAAGATGTATAGAAGAGATTTTAGTGACAGAATTTTCAAATTCAACTTCTGTCCTGAGATATGAGTTTTCAAATTTTAACATTTGAAAAAAGTGATTTTTTTGCCCTTTTTTCAAACTTTTAGGTGTGTTTAAAAAAAAGTAGGGCTGATATCAAGATTCCGTCATTAAAATTTGTCGACAAGTCATCAATGAATAGAGTCCATGCGAGACGACTCATGTAGGTGTCAACCAGGAACGCAGGAAGTCTTTCTACGACAAAATTTTTTGTCGACTGAGCAAAGCTGTTAAGTTGAGCGTAGAAGCCAACAACAACTGATCTCAATGTTATTTCCTTCCAAATGATAAAGAAACTACCCACTTAGCTTAAAGGTGTTCAACCTGTTGAATCTGAAATCTTCTATGCACACTTTTATCTATGAACTTTAAAAATACTATTTTTTGGAATTTTGGCGATTTTTTCACCAGGGTCCCCCCTTAAACCATAGAAGGTGTAGAAGCACTGACCTAAACAACATCGAACGCTATTAATATGTCCCTGGAGCCAATGTAGCAGCACCAGCCGGCTTTGAGGTGGTAAAATCATCATGCGCAACTGAAAATAGGGGTGAAAGCGAAGATCGGCTCTCGTCAGTACACTTTTCGTCCAAGAAGTGTACGGTAAACATGAGAATTTGTCGCATATCTGTACTTCGAGCCTCATAGAAACTAGGCAAATGACGATCCAAGCACACCGTTGGAAAGGTGAGACTCTGACGGTCATTTTGAGATATCGCGGGGGAAAATCGATCTACAACTGCCGAAGATACAGTCGCGCAAAGTTGCAATTAGGGCCTTGAAAAACACAAACGTGGCTCTGTAGCCTAACAAACGACTCCAATCGAATTTCTGGCCGCAGATTCTGAAAGTACAGCTCAAAACCTTTCAAATGAGCCCAGAATGGTCCAAATCGGTCAATAATTGGCGATTTCAGCATTTTGGACTGAAGTAAAAACAGCCTAAATTTTTCAAAGGCGTTGAGCGACCTCTAATTTTGCGAAATTTGGAAAACCCCGAAACACGTAAACGTTTTTGTTTTCGATAAAAAATCAATTTTCACCCGGCAATCATGAGATTTCGAAACTTTTTGCAAAAGTGAAACACCCTAGTGGACCACGATGGTCCACACGCTAGGAAACGTGGACCACGCAATGGTCTACACTTTACAACGTCCAACTCCTCAAAGGCCGGCCACACTACCAAGTGTGGACCACGTTTCCTACACTGTTAAAAATTATGTTGTAATTTAGCAGTAAATATGTTGCTAATTTTCTTAGCGATCAAAGTTGTTTTCAAATGACTTTTGTTGTTTACTAACGAGTGGCGTCGTTCGTCCACAAGATGTTTGTAAACCGATAGACAGCCTTATTTGCATCAATTTTTATTGCCGATTAGGTCACAGGCCTAGTAGAGTCCCGGTTACCCCGCAGTAACCACTTCTTAGATTGTCCGGGTTGTTTGTAAGCAGCAAAATATTGTTTTGAAACAGCATAAGTCATTAAAATAATTAGCAACGAATTCGTCGTTTCAAAACAAGCAAACTTGTTCACAAACAACAGCGTTGTCGAGGTTGGTAACTGTGTTGTTGTTTTAAAACAACTATTTTTAACAGTGCAGCGTGGTCCACGTTCCTTTATGTGGACATCGTGGTCCAATCTTGGATTAGCAGTGTGCGTGAAAAAGCAGCCAAAAACGCTGATTTAAAAATGATTTGCATGACTTGTAAGAAATAGATCCTGTGCTTCAGTTGAAGTTGATTGAAAAACATCTGGCTAGCACAAAGTTGAAAGATGTCGAAAGCATACAGATGTTGAAAACTCTTAACGACAAGTTATTGCACTCCAAAACGGTTCGGCACAACAGTCTCGGTCTGATCTGTCTTTTTTTCCCCTGAACCTCATTGGATAGTTGACTAGGAGATTAGAAAATTAAGAACCAACCGATATTGACAATATCAATCACGGCGTAGTTGTGAACAAATTAGATTCTAAGGTTAAAAAATATCATTTTTAAAATAAATATTTTCAAACTTTACAAAATTTCGAAGTTCAGATTTCATTTTATCCTGACACCTTTAAACACAAAAACGCTGTGTTATCGTGTTCAGTAGGTAAAAAAAAAAGGTCCTGAGGCAGACAGTTGTGCAGAATCGTTACAGCTCAAAAGTCTACATCTGATCACAATGATATGTACCCCTGGAATAACGTAATTGGTTATGATCGGCTTCAGATTTTAAAGGTTATTGAAAAGTGAGAAAAGTGGCTATTTGACATTTTTTAAATACTTGTGTCAGATATCTCAATTTATGGGTAAAAAAACCCTATCTATTGCATTAACTTATTCACCAAGATTCCACAACTCCTTTCAGTTTCTGAATTATGGAGGTTTACGTAAATTTTTGGTTGTTTCTCCAAAATTCTCCTTGCGACAAAGGATTAAGTTACCCAGTCTTTGGCAATTTTATCTACTTTTGTAAAGGAAAGAGGTAGTGTTGCCCTTTTTTCATGACTGTCATAGATTTCCTGAAAAACCGAAAACCAAAATCGGAATGGGCCAAAACCTCTCAAATGTGAAGAAAAATAAAACAAGGTAGGTTTACGCCAGACCGCGTCTTGTCGTAACAGGCTTCGCGATGTCTCGCTGCCTGTTCCTCCAATCCGCGCTTGGCGTACCTACACTGGCCTGCGGCGCTAGCCTGCCTTCGGCAGGCAATGCATGTCCACAGTTGGTTACTTCTAATTTGTTGTGTACTGGGGGGCTTCCCCCCCCCCCTTCATTCTAGATAGAGTTGCTTCATCTACAAATTACACGATCTTGACCCTTGTAACTTGTTAACTTGTCGAGGCTGGGGGGCTCCGACCCCCTGACCCCCCTTCCATCAAGACAGGGGAGATCTGCTTGCAGAAAACTTGATTTTTCGCCGTTTTTTAGGTGCTTTTCGGCGATAAAAACTGAACCAGTTGAGCTAGGATAGTAAAATTTCGCGTGTGCCGAGCCAACAACATACCTAATGACCCTGCTAAATCTCAGCCAGATCGGCCGAGCCGTTCAGGAGGAGTAGTGCGCACAGACACGCACACAGACAGAAAAAGTTTTTTAACCCCACTGGAGTAACGGGCTTCGCTATCGCTCAGCCAAAAAATAGGCCTGGTAAAGTGACTTTAAAAGCCTCTTCTGGACTGATACTTCCAAATCTGCCAACGCCATCTATTTCCTGTGCAAAAATGGATACATTTGCCAGAATCTGAAATCTGGGTAGCTAATCCTTAGTGGTGAGGAAAATCTGGGAGAAGCGACGATAAGTTTACGCAAACCTCCGTAACTTACAAACTAATAGGAGTTTGGGCCCCCGACTTTGCGAGTAAATTCATCTAATAGCGGTTGAATTTTGACCACAAAATGAACTTCCTGTGACAAATATTTCGAGGACATGCTAGTTTCACTTTACAGTTTCCTGAACTTTCAATATGGGCGCACTACAACTGCATGAGTTGGACCCCTTGTGTCCAGAGAGAGTTTTCTTTTGACCATATACCCCACCTTAAAAAGGTTAGGGCAGACGCGCGCCGGTGGCACTACCTACCCGGACGAGGCTCTCTTCCTGCCGCAGCTGCAGCACCAGCGCGCACAGCAGCAGCGCGCTGCGCCCTGGGGCGGCCGGCTGCAGGTCGGCCTTCCACTGTGCGCTGCCCGCGTCCGCCTGCAGCTGCAGCCTGCACTCGGCGCCCAGCAGGCCGGCCGCGTCGCGCAGCAGAAGGTCCAGGCCTTCAAGTTGGGGCGTCTGCAGGTCCCGGCCCTCGTCCACCGCGGCCTGCAGCTCCCTCTCGGCGTCCTCCAGCCGCAGCAGCCTGGCGCGCCACTCCTGCAGCTGGGCCTCCACGGCGTCCCGGGCGTCCTGCAGGGCCGCCACCACCTTCCTGGCGGACGAGGCCGCCGTCTGCAGCCGCTGCAGCTTGGGGGCCGCCTGCCCCGCGCGGTGCATGCGCAGGGACGTCAGGGAGTGCTGCAAGTCCGCGCACAGTCCATCGGCCTCCTTGTCGCAGGCTTGGCACCAAATCCTGCGCAACATGCGAACAAACACTTGAAAACTCCCAAGAGACGATTGATCAGTTGTTTTGATCTGCAGAAGTGGCAGAGTTCGACTCACGCGGGACGAGAGACGCTCATGGTATGACCATTTTCTTCGAGATTCGTTGCAAATTCCTCCTTGACAGACACCTCCCCGGACATACTGCAAAACGTTTCAAACATAAAGGTTAGAAAACCTCGTTGACAAACTGTGATCGAGGCCCCAGCTCCGGGAAGCATTGAAAAGGAGGCATCAGACAGGCAATGGACTTTCTTTTTTTTTCAGGGAAGACAAATCATAATTCGACGCATCTTAATAGAATAATCCTAAGTGGCAGTGCAGTCCAAGACAATAACTGTGTGTGTAAATTCAGAACTATCCTAACAGCACATTAAGTTAAAAGCGGTCTTTTCTCAAAGTCCGAGACGCTAACATACTACATGAGATTTCTTGCCGAAGGAATTAATAAGAAGTTTCATCCTCATACAGTGCCTTGAATTACAAAGATATCACAATTCACTGACTAGCAATGAGGATGGTTCACCATCAGTTTCAGGCACCTCTGCCTGCAGTTAGGATAGTTATAAATCCATAAACAAGCCAGAAGAGTAGATCTGGACGAAGTTCACATCAGTCGTCGCTAGATGGCGCGCAACTGGTTCCTGCTTTTTGTTTACTTTTGTTCTTCACACAGCGACGTCTCAAAGGGTCTATTGGCTTTTGACTGACTTCTTCAGCAGTGGAACGTTAAGTTAATAGGTTACGCATGCCAGCAGAACGATGTCAAACATGATGTCGGAGCTTCTAGCTAAAGAGATTACCTTTCAACAGACGCTGTTTCCCGTTGCTGCGACGGGCTGCTCTGCTTGGATCGCTTATCCGCCCCACCGGGCAGTGACGTCTGGGTCCTCTTCTTGGGCGGCATTCCGTCCCTTTAAAACAAAAATGAGGGTCGTCAATGAAGCTTTCAAAACGGCACACCGAGAGGAGAGACCTGCTGCAGGAACTCATAAAACTACCGCGAAGTTATTTGTGTGTGCACAAGTCTTTCTTCCGGGGGTCGCCAAAATAGATTGTAACTCTTGGACACGAGTGTGAAGTGTTCAGCACCACAGGCAACACTTCAACTGCAATCTACGCACTACGCACTCTAAATGGTCCAGCGAAACAAAATTGATGACGCGAACTCGCGGTGACGCAGACTTCATGCGATGTGCACAGCTCTGGTCTGGAGGCAAAGATATACTGACTAGTGACGCGACGCAGAGGCAGTGTCTCTGAAATCCCGAGTGGCCGAGGGGGATAACGCGACCCCTCGCCGGGCGCAGGTAGCTTCGGCGGCCGGGCGGCCGGTGAGCGGAGATTTTCCGCGAAAGCAGCGCCCTTGCGCCGGTTCGGCTCACCAGGACTCGAGGCTCACCCTACCTGGCCGCTCGGCTGGCCACCGCCGCCGCGGCGGCTCACCTGCCTCGGCTCGGGGCAAGGTCACCGGTCAGACACGGCAAGGATATGGATATGAAATTTCTTAACTTTTGTGCAGTGTGAGCTTTGCACAGAAATGTGAATGCGTTTTGAAATACACTTTGATTTTGCTTAACTATACTCGAAATTGAGCGATGTTGCGCAGGAAAGTGAACGTTTCACGCGCATGCACAATCAGATGTATTGGCTATGCATAATAAGAATTACGTAGTTGCAGAGCGAAGCGCGGCACCCTGTTTGGGATTTAGAACGGTCCATTGCGGCCCCCACCACTCACTGGCACGGTCGCGCGGACGCCCTTTGGTTTCGGATCCTCCCGTTCTTTCGTCGACTTCCGGTCCGCACTTCCTCTGCAGTACCCTGTTGCGTTAAATCCCAAGACCGGTTGTCAAAGAACATAAGCGTCCCATAAGCCTGCTGCAGCGCTTGCGATTTTAAGAACTGGATTCGGTCCTTTCATTATACATCGTGTTCTTCAATCAGCGTTGGAAGGGTCCACGCGTTTAAGCTCAGAGGGTATATCGAAACATTCTTTTCCTTCTCCGACTTCCGGTCCAGGTAATCGTTTAATTACCCACCGATCTATGGTGGACGGAGGGTGATCGGGCACATACACGCTGCAAGGTTGGCGTGGCACTGAGCTTCAGCCTTACCTGAGTTGTCGAGAGATCCGCCACGCTCGGAGCAGACTTTATTCAGGAGATCTGAAATTCCTCTGGGTGGGGCACTGGGACAGAGGTCGAGCTTTGGGATGAAGGGTGGACTCCTTTTCAACACGGTTCTGCCAAGAATCTGAAAACGGAAGATGACCACACGTCAGCCCTAAAAGCAACTCCTGCGCGTGCTCATACCTTCCCCACCACCCGAGGCGAATGCGCTCAAGCTGTTGTTAGCGCTTACTTTTGTTCTTGCGCTACGACAATCTTGGGAGTACCCAATGAACGCGGCAGCGGAACAGGGACGCTAACGATTTCCTCTTCGACGCTCTTGTCGCAAGCCCTCACCATCCAACCTTAAAATCCCAAGCAAGAAAGTGTTTCATTACTGAACGGGTGGATAACTCGGCCAACGGCTTGGCGTACTAACTGAGAAGTTGCTACAAACGAGCTCTAACACTTAAGACAGAGAACCAACGAATCCGAAAGGTAACCGCCGCGCACTGAAAACTTGTGTGTGTGCCGAGTACACACGTAGCGCTCTAAAGTTTTTACTGCTCGTACACTTTATCAGTGCGTACAATTCACATAGAAATCGTCATTTCAGACCCGCGTTCGGTCTTTTGGGCCTGAACTCCTTCGGAGTAAACCTACGAAGAACATAACTAGGACCCAAACACCGCTTCTGTGCATATTGAGAGAAGGGCGCTTCTCTCGGATGTGCATGTCAGTTACGCCGGGAGGCAGGGGAACGTCTGCCCATGCCCAGGTCTTACTTTGTTCTACTGACTGTTCGTTAGAATAGGGTACTTCGGAGAAAGCCTAGACCGGAAGTCAGCGACAGAACGGGAGAAACAAAAGAGCATCGCGCGGCCGTGCTGAGCGGTGGTGGGGGTCGAAATCGGCGGAGTGGGGGTGAAGGCGGCGCGCGCATACTACCCCCACTCTGCCGATTCCGGCCCCCACCACCGCTCCGCACGGCCGCGCGATGCTCTTTTGTTTCTCCCGTTCTGTCGCTGACTTCCGGTCTAGGTTTCCTCCGAAGTACCCTATTCCCTTTTGGTGGACGTCGTCCTCTTACCGATATTCTTGGGTTTAGCGGTGAGTAGCTATGAAGTGAGGTTCAGTAAACTCTGCAGAAACCGATGTGCAGTTGGCCTTACGCGTCCAAGCTCTAGCGGAACAGGCTCATCCCTGTGGAACCGATCAAAAGCATGAAAGAGGTTTGGGACCGCTTCGCGTCTACCAAAACATCTCCCAACGTAAGGGACCTTTCATTGTGTATACGCGACCCCTGGCAGGGGGTCTCCCACTGGTACGCAGCGCTACGCTGGCTGGGACCCAACTTCAAACAACCTGTAGTAAAGATAAACAAGCTCAAATTTTTAATCCGTTTGGGCATTTTATGTTTTAAAAATTCAAGCTCTGAGAATTTCTTGAACTATCGTTATCATCTTATTCGGAAGTGGAAATGTCCGCCCTGAGCAATCTCCGATAGGCTACCTTTTTGTGATGTTTTCGTTCAATATCTGTTTCGATAGCCTGGATTGTTATTGTTCTAGAGGTGCCCGAACGACAGAATCACCATCGGCATGTCTCCGACATCTTTGAGCTTTAGTAAGTTGACTCATCTAAAGGTTGTTAGTTCCTAAGTCAACACACAATAGACACCTCTAGCGAGGCCTGAAATGAAGAACAAGAAGAAGAACATAGACCGGAAACAGTTCAAGAAATCGGCCTTTTTCGGGGTTTTTGGCAGGTTTAAATCAAATTGTATTACAAAATTAAGCTTCCTTGAATTTTTGGATTGAGAATAAACATTCGTCATCAACAAATGAGCGTAATTTGGCAACTGTTTCCGGCTCCTGTTCTTCTTGTTCTTCACTTCAGGCCTCGCTAGAGGTGTCTATTCACGCAGTAGCTGGCGTACACCTACGAGTCTCGCGGTCCTAAATAGGTTCCTGGTTATTCCAGGTGGTCCGTAACAAAGGGAAAGGTGATTTGCATGGAGCCCCCTGGGATAACCAGGAATCGATTTTACCGAGGTTGTTCTCAAGGCATGAAACATATTGTTTTGAGAGTACGGGTGCGTCTCAAAATTTTCAAAGTGCTCGCGGAACGCTCTTTCTTTCTCGCACTCATGGGGCGAGCTTGTGTCGTACACAATGTTGTGTTCACTTTGTATATCAGACGTTGCACTTTTCGGTTCAGATAGACTTTTCGTTTGATTTTCATACGGAAAGTCGCACATATTCACGAAATTTTGTTTAATGTCGCGTTCAATTGGTTACTTCGGAGGAAACCTAGACCGGAAGTCAGCGACAGAACGGGAGAAACAAAAGTGCGTCGCGCGGCCGTGCTGAGCAGTGGTGGGGGTGGAATTCAACGGAGTGGGGGTAACGCCTTTACCCCCACCCCGCCGATTTCCACCTCACCACCGCTAGCACGGCCGCGCGACGCACTATTGTTTCTCCCGTTCTGTCGCTAGCTTCCGGTCTAGTTTTCCTCGGAAGTACCCAACTGTGTTCAAAAAGTTCGCTTATCCTTTTCAAATAAAACCTACAGCTTCTCGTTTAAAATTTGTACCAACAGTGTGTACATTCCCCACGAGAGACAGCGCGACGAATTTAATCCCACAGATGCCCCGCGAGGCCCGTGCGCCGTGTGCGGCGAGGACGGCCTGCCGTGCGCGCGCTGCCGCGTGCACTACTACTGCGGCAAGGAGCACCAGCGGCAGCACTGGCCCCGGCACCGGGCGGGCTGCGGCAGCGTGGAGGCGCGAGAGGGCGGCCTGGTGGCCACCAGGGACATCCCCGCCGAGACCGTCATCCTCAGGGAGATCCCTCGAGTCACCTTCGCCGACCTGCAGGCCCACGGCACACTGGAACAGGTGGGTCAAGGGACGGTGCACTGCAAGAAAAAGTGTGAATACGTAGCACAACAAAAGTACAACAAAATCTATAGTGCAACAAAATAACAAAAGGGATTGTAGAAAGTACAACGAGAATTGTTCAAACCACAACGAGCCCTGGACTGCACAGCACTCCTCATGCCGGTTTCATTGTACTTTGTACAACGATTGTTGTACCTGAAAAGTACACTAAATTCCTAATGAAAAATTTGCCAGAAATTTGTGTACTTTTGTCGTGGTTCTTTCTTGCAGTGTGGGAATCCCTGGTGGGACGTTGGATAGGTTTCGGATGTCAGAATTTATCTCAATTTCGTCAGCACATCCGCAGCATACAATATACGTTCCAAAGTCGTCCAGGTATCCGAACTAGCCTGTCCGATTAGTATCCAACCTATCGCGACGTCCTGCATCTGTCCCCATCGCATCCTGGGCATCTTTTGCATATAATCGATGCGTGTCCACTAAACATCCATTGTCATCCACCTTGTCCGACCGTTCTAAACATGTCTCTTTTTCATCAACCTATCCGAATACTTTGGATTCAAAACCGTCCTAAATCTATCCGCACTGTCATGGCCATCCAAAAGCAATCCGCAGAGTTTCACGGCATCCTCATCGCCCAAATGAATCAAATTCACATCGCGGTATCTAGGATATATGCCCGTCCCGTACGTATCAGGGCGCGTCCGCAGCGTCTTAGGCATCAAAAAGCGTCCATAGGACATCAAAAATAATCCTCGGCGTCCGAAATGTATTGGGGACATCAGAATGTCTCCTTTAGGTCCAGGGAACATCCTTCACGTCCACGCGTTCCTATTGCATCCAGACCGTCAGGAGTCGTTGTGATCCAGTAAATCCGAGGCGGCCCTGCAGCGTCCGAAATGTTTCAGACGCATCAGTAAGCCCCGTTACACTGAGAATGAAAGAGTCATGATCATGACTAAAATTTTGGGTGAGGAATTCTTTATTACCCAAATTTGGGTGAGGAAATTTTCCTCGCCCAAATTTGGGTGAGGAAAGTTTTCTCACCCAAATTTGGGTCATAATACTATGGAGCTATATAGGGAGCTGGTACACCCTTCCTCACCCAAAATTGGGCGAGGAAGCTTTCCTCGCCCAAATTGGGCGAGGAAACATTCCTCGCCCAAATTTGGGCGAGAAAGTAAACCTCGCCCAAAATTGGGTATTGATCATGACTTTTTCATTCTCAGTGTTCAGGTCCAAAAATTATCCCTTACATCTACGAGTCAAAAAGGAATCAGAAATCGATCGATGGCGTTCCGGCTGTGTCCGGAAGGCATCCAAGATGCATCCAGCTCACCGACGGCCCGTTCAAGGCATCCTCCAGAGTCTGAAATGCATCACAGTGCATCAAAGGCGTCTAGGTGGCGTCGGTGCGTATCCTTGGCGTCCACCTGGCGTCGGTGCGTCTCCTTGGCGTCGTCCTAGCGTCGGTGCGTCTCCTTGGCGTCGTCCTAGCGTCGGTGCGCCTCCTTGGCGTCTCAGCGTCTACCTGGCGTCGGTGTGCGTATCTTCAGCGTCCACGTGGCGTCATTGCGTATCCAAGGCGTCCACGTGGCGTCGGTGCGTATCCCCCGCGTCCACCAAGCGTCGGGGCGTATCCAACGGCGTCCACCTGGCATCAGGGCGTACCCACGGCGTCCACCTGGCGTCGACGCGTATCCTTGGCGTCGGTGCGTATCCCCCGCGTCCACCTAGCGTCGGGGCGTATCAACAGCGTCCACCTAGCATCGAGGCGTATCCACGGCGTCCACTTCACGTCACTGAGTATCCGTTGGCGCCCACCTGGCGTCGGGGTGTATCGGTAGTGTCCACCTGGCGTCCGGGCGTATCCTCGACGTCCATCTGGCGTCGGTGCATATCCTTAGCGTCCACCAGGCGTCAGGGCGTATCTGCGGCGTCCACCTGGCGTCGAGGCGTATCTCCCGCGTCCACCTAGCGTCGGGGTGTATCCTTGGCGTCCACCTGGCATCGGGGCGTATCCACGGCGTCCACTTCACGTCGTCGAGTATCCGTTGGCGTCCACCTGGCGTCCGGGCGTATCGGTAGTGTCCACCTGGCATCAGGGCGTATCCTTGATAGCAGGGCGTACGGGTCATTTTAACATTTGGCGGCCCTTAAAAGGTCAAGGCCATGGCCAAAACCCATGTTCCGACCACTCATTGAAAAGATCTCGTCAAGATCTGTCCAAATCTGTCATAAAAATTTTCAGTTGGTCGCTCCCCTTTTTTGAAGATAGAGCTTATTTAACTCTATTCAAAAAAGGAGAGTGACCAACTGAAAATTTTTATGACAGATTTGGACAGATCTTGACGAGATCTTTTCAATGAGTGGTCGGAACATGGGTTTTGACCATGGCCTTGACCTTTTAAGGGCCGTTAAAGGGCTATGCCAAGACCGACACCACGTTCCGACCACTCACTGAAAAGATCTCGTCAAGATCTATCCAAATCTGAAATAAAATTTTTCAGTTGGTCACTCCCCTTTTTCGAAGATAGAGCTTATGTAACTCTATCTTCAAAAAAGGAGAGTGACCAACTGAAAAATTTTATGTCAGAGTTGGATAGATCTTGACGAGATCTTTTCAACGAATGGTCGGAACATAGGTTTTTGGCCTGGCTTTGACCTTTTAAGGGCCGTCAAATGTTAAAAACGACTCTGACACCTGTCGGATTACAAGGACAGGCCCCGAAACGAGGTGGACGCCTGGGATACGCGCTGACGCCTGGGAGGCGCTAAGGATGTGCCTTGACGCCAGGTGGACGCCAAAGATACGCCCCGATGCTAGGTGGACGCCAAGTATACGCCCCGATGCTAGGTGGACGCCAAGGATACGCCGCGACGCCAGGTGGACGCCAAGGATACGCCCCGACGCTAGGTGGACGCCAAGGATACGGCCCGACGCTCGGTGGACGCCAAGGATACGCCCCGACGCTAGGTGGACGCCAATGTTCGCCCCGACGCTAGGTGAACGCCAAGGATACGCCCCGATGCTAGGTGGACGCCAAGGATACGGCCCGACGCTAGGTGGACGCCAATGATACGCCCCGACGCTAGGTGAACGCCAAGGATACGCCCCGACGCTAGGTGGACGCCAATGTACGCCCCGACGCTAGGTGAACGCCAAGGATACGCCCCGACGCTAGGTGGACGCCAAGGATACGGCCCGACGCTAGGTGGACGCCAATGATACGCCCCGACGCTAGGTGGACGCCAAGGATACGCCCCGACGCTAGGTGGACGCCAAGGATACGCCCCGACGCTAGGTGGACGCCAAGGATACGCCCCGACACCAGGCGGACGCTAAAGATGCGCCCTGCGGGTAGACGGGTAGGACGGACTAAGGATGCTTGGCAGATGCTTCCTTGCATGAAGTTTAAGAGTATCCAATGCGCTTCGCTCTTAACAAGGAAGTGATGGCCGAGGGGCTTCAGCGGTTAACCAGCATGCGGAGGGTACCGGGTTCGACTCCCGGTAAATCAGCACCATCTTCGAGAAGTTCATCGCACATCCCATCCAAGCGACATCCAGCACGTCCAACCACCAGCCTTCAAGAAAGATCCATCTCATCCTCATCGGGAAGTCGTCCGCACTCATCTGGAGCAGAGAATCATCCTTCATCCGAAAGACGTCCAATACCCATCCAGAGCAGACAACACATCCAACAAGCATCCCTATCATCCGTCTCATCAACAACACACCCGAATCACATCTGATCACATCGGATGTAAAATGGATGCGATCTGGATACGATTCAAATCTTTTGGACGTGGTTTGGATGCGTTCTGAATGAAGAGAGGACGTCCGGAGGCGGACAGGACGTATTCAGGATGCTTTTGGACCCCACATGATACGTCCCGACGTTAGGTGGACGCTCAGGATACGCGCCGACGCTAGGTGGACGCCCAGGATACGCACCGACGCCAGGGGGACGTACCGACGCCAGGTGGACGCCCAGGATACGCACCGACGCCAGATGGACGCCAAGTATAAGCCTCGACGCCAGTTGGATGCCAAAGATACGCACCGACGCTAGGTGGACGCCGAGAATACGCCCCGACGCCAGGTGGACGCTAGGGCGGTCGACAGGATACGCCCCGACGCCATTTGAATGCTTTAGAATACGCCCTGACGTCAGGTCGACTCCAACGGATATCCTGCAATGCTGGGTGGATACAGTGGATACTTTCTGATGCTGTGTGGAGGCCGAGGATGCATGGGGACGAATTCCAGACGCTGTAAGGGAGTATGGGGCGATTTGTAACAGATTTCGGAATTCCCTATACAAAATTAAGAACATTCTGCATATCGGTGTCAAACTTGTGCCAGTTGAGCAGTCTGGCCCTTCATCTAGACTGTGCAGCTCCATTGGATCAATCTGAAGTCCGTAATCTTTGAAATCTAAGACGTTTTCCAAACCCTTGCATGCTGTTACGAATCGCCCCAGCATGGGGTGATTTGTAACAGCCATGGGGCTTTTCATAACATCCTACACATTAAATGAAACATCGTCGGGAATGGTATCTCCTCCACCAGTTGTTCTTCGGGTGTCCTGCGGACGTCTAAAAATCTACATTACAAGATGCCGTTGCCCGCCTGAGCATTAAGGGGAGGTTCTGGTGAAAATGCTATTTTCTCCTAAATAGGTCCCACTGTGAAAATTAGTTAAAAATTTGATGTCTCATCAGGTATTTATTAAAATTTTTCATTGGGGAGGCACATTCTATGCCCTGAACCCAGTCGCAGAGCCTTTTTCTCCCATTTAGGCTATAACTTTAAAAATCTTCTTGCGCATACTATTTTGTCGTAAAAGGTTGACTTAGACATTTTTGACTTCTTCGATTCATTTTTTAAAAATGCCGGCATGCACATCTCAAAATGTCAATTGCATTTTTATTCGCAAGCTTTCTAACCAAGCATTTCGCTATAATTGATCAAAAATGTGCAAAATAGACAAATTTTAGGGACTTTTCAGCTTAAAAAGCTAATAATTAATAACATAATGGAAGTTTTGAGCTATGCATGCCGGAATCTTTTGCAAATGAATCGAAGAAGTGAAAAATGTCAAGGTCAACCTTTTACGACAAAATAGTATGCGCAAGGAGATTTTTTAAGATACAGCCAAAATAGGCTCAAAAAGACTCTTCGACTGGGTTTACAGCCTGGCATGTGCCTTCAAAAGTCAAATTTTAGTCTCCTCTATGAAAAATTTTATATTCCGAACAAATTGTGACTGTGGGATCCATTTGGAAAATTGCAAGATTTTCACCAGAACCTCCCCTTAACTGATAGGCTTTGTCGATCCTAACCTCACTTTTTTCAATTTTAGAGGAAATCATAGAATAACTCGCTTTAAAATGCATTTCGAGCTGTGTTACAGGCGCGTAATTAGGGCCCCCCCCCTTTGGCCCCCGAAGGGGGCCAAAAGTACTGCACTGTTAAGAGAAGTCGTTATTTTACAACAGTAATCCCAACAATTAGAGTTGTAATTTTACAAATAATAATTCGTAAAATAACTACAAGATTCATGAAATGAGCAATTGTCATATTTTCGACAAACTTTACTCATAAATTTAGGAATAAATTCGAAATTTTACGATGAAATCTTAATGTTACTGACGAAAGATCGTAGTTTTACTGATAAAATCATTATCTTACGACTATTCTCGTTTTATCACGCGAAAAACTTGTTTTCTTACAAATTGAGCTTTATTTTTATGAATAGTTGTCTGTTAAATCTGTACCACGAACTGCATGTTTTTTTACAAAGTAAATTGTAAATTGACAAATTGTTCATCATTTTACAAACTGTTTCTTAAATTTACAGGTGAAATCGTTAATTTACAAGCATAATTGTAAAACCAAGTCTAAAAAAATGCGTTTTCGTCCGTTCTTTCCTTACTATATAGGAAGAAAAATTGTCTGAAACGACCAAAATTTGAGGAATAAGTTTGTAAGTTTAAGAATACTTTAGTAAATTGACGAAAAAAAGATGGATGATCAGATCGTTTTTGAAATTTACGAGCAGTTCGTGGTACAGATTTAACAGACAATTAATCGTAATTTCACAAAATAATCCCGAACAGTGTGCCCTTACTGGGTCCGATTGGCCCGAGAAATAGCCGGTAGTCAGGAATCGTCCCTTAGCCTGGCCCGAACAACTCACATTTTGGACACACTTAGGCATTGGCTTCTAGCTCGCTTCGCTCGCCGGCACTGTTAAAAAAAAAGTCTGAAAATTCAGACCAAATTGGTAAGAAGTTATTAACAGACTTGAGGTCTGAAAATTCAGACCATTTAGATGGTCTGAAAATTCAGAACTCGAGAGTCTTACATTCAAGATTTTGGTGGTCTGAAAATTCAGTCCTGTACGAAGATAGTGAACTTTAAGGTTCATGCCATGTTCAATAAGACGTAGAAAGAATCTCAGGTGTGTGTGAACCTCCAGAGAGGACAACACTAGGTAAAAATTGTGAGGAGGGAGAAGGTCCTCTGTTCTTTTCCCTGACTCTCGAGAGGCCGGCCTGTGGCCACCCAAGGAACTGGCGACACGGAGCCACCCGCGAGAGGTAAATTAGAATGTGGATTGTTAACTTCCACCCATATTAGGGAGATAAATCTTGCAGCAGAGAATGGTTCTCATATGGCCGATTAAGTTCTGTCAATTTGGAACTTTTCGACTAATATATTTTCACATTAGAAGCCTTTTATACAGAAGTAGGTATGTTCCACAACATGCGCGCCATCTAGCGGACAAACGAAATCTTGGGTTGGTCTGAATTTTCAGACTTAACCATCTAAATTTTCAGACTGCACTGGTCTGAAATCAGTTTCTGAGACGATCAGGTCGCAATTTTCATACCGGAAGGCATAATTTTCAGACAAGCAGTCTGAAACAAGTCTGAAAAGTAGATTCAGACCACCAAGTCTGACAAAAGTGGTCTGAATTTTCAGATTTTTTTTAACAGTGGGAGGTAACTTGCTTCTGGATTCTCTCCGCTGGCAAATAAAGCGGATTGAGGTACCTTATGACTGATATGTGTAATGCCTTCTCAGATCCTTAACCATCTTGGGCCGGAAAGAAAATTTGTGTGCAACGTATTTTCAACAATTTGTTTGTCTGGCCGACAAAAAATATGTACCTGGTAATGTTTAAAGTCCCCTGGAATCCTAGGACTAAGACCCCAAGTTAAAGTTGTAACATTTCCCGCTCAACAAGGCTATAGCTTTTAGCTCGCTTCGCTCGCAACAGGAAGTCTCTTCTAAATTTCGGCTCCGTGGCAAGTGGGGGGAAGCAAGTGTGCCAGCCCTTCGAGACGAAAAAGTCTTCCCCATTGTAGGACTCGGAAACAACGTTTCAGACCGTTAAGCATTCATAGCTTTTGGCTCGCTTCGCTCGCTGAAAGCCATCTAATTCTAAATTCTCGCTATGTGTCCAAACAAATGTAGAATAAACCACGTCCCTAAAAATTACCTATCAGGCTCCTTGAAGGTAGGCAACTTTTCAAACATTCGCCCCCCCCTTTCGACCCGCCTAATTACGCCCCTGCTGTGTTAATGTATTGGAATAAAACAGCAGATGATTCGAGAAATAATTCAAGCATTTAACAGCAAAAACTACTTACATTCTTGTTTTTATACGGGTCTGTTACGAATCACCCCAAATGCCTGATACGCAAGAAATCCGTCCCTAACTATCACTGGACAAAGTAAAAGCAACTTATGCCACGTGTTAACATTGTAAAGGGGTCACGCTTCAAGGCCCCAACGGTACTTCGATGGTGATTCATACCTGGGGAGCCTCAGACAGAAACTTCCTAGAACTCAAAATAAAAGATTTGCCTGTTTGCCGAAATTTCGGTATACCCTATATTTCAGACGCCCTCCAAAACTATACCTGAGCACCGATCACATCCGCTTCGATTGTTCAAGGACCCTGTACTTGAAGCGAAAGAGGGGCCATACTCAGATTTTCCTCTGCTCCCTCCACTCAAATTAATAAACGCATTTGTTACGAATCGCCCCTGTTACAAATTGCCCCATACTCCCTTAGGGTCACCGGCAACGGATGCTTCTTGGATGCGTTTTGGATGCAGCCGGACTAAGCCCCGACAGTTTCTGGATGTGCTTTGGACGCATTGGGGACGCAAAAGGTGAATATTGGATGTATTTGTGATGCATTACGATGCTCTTGATACGGTTAATATGCGTTGTGGATACGGAGGATATTTATACCTTCTGTGTCGGATACAGAGGGACGCCAGAGGAACGAATTTTGGGTATCAGAATCTGTCCAAAATGAGAAAAAGGCGATGCATACGGGACGTCCAAAAATCATCAAGAAAATCCCACCAGGGAAATCTTACCGGCCAGTCTTATGACGTGTTGATGTTCTTGGTTCGCAGAGACTGTGCTTCGGCTGCCACGGCCCGCTGCAACGCCGACGTGGACGCCAATGCCAGCGTTGTGGCGTCCCCGTGTGCGCCGAGGAGTGCAGCGACGACGGCAGGCACGCTGCCGAGTGCAGGGCCTTTCAGCGCGCCCAGTTCAGGGTGCCGGAAGGTCAGTGCCATTCACTGTCGTTCCTGAAATGTCGTTCCTGACGGTCACGCTGAATAGCGAATGTGGCCCGTTCGTTTTGAGCATTGTGTCACATTCTTTACCATGTGAATAAGTTTATTCATGCACATTAAATTTATATGTACATAAGTTTTTGTGCATAAGCTATGCACGAAACTATACACTGTTAAAAATTATGTTGTAATTTAGCAGTAAATATGTTGCTAATTTTCTTAGCGATCAAAGTTGTTTTCAAATGACTTTTGTTGTTTACTAACGAGTGGCGTCGTTCGTCCACAAGATGTTTGTAAACCGATAGACAGCCTTATTTGCATCAATTTTTATTGCCGATTAGGTCACAGGCCTAGTAGAGTCCCGGTTACCCCGCAGTAACCACTTCTTAGATTGTCCGGGTTGTTTGTAAGCAGCAAAATATTGTTTTGAAACAGCATAAGTCATTAAAATAATTAGCAACGAATTCGTCGTTTCAAAACAAGCAAACTTGTTCACAAACAACAGCGTTGTCGAGGTTGGTAACTGTGTTGTTGTTTTAAAACAACTATTTTTAACAGTGTAGCATGCGTTTGAAAATGCACGAATTTCATGCGCAACAACGCACATTTTTGTGCATAGTGGAGCACAAGACCGCATGCTCAGTTGCGTGTTGCGTGCATAGCGTCATGCACAAGAAACTGCAGTTCACTCTCGGACTCGTGACTTCTTTCTCTCCATTATTGACTTTTTGTCCTTTGCTTACGTAGTTTTTAAGCAGTAATAATTGCTTAAGTAGTTTTTAAGCAGTAAGTAGTATTTTCTTCGTAACCATGTACAGTATTGTTCACTATAAAGACTAAATTGTCATGAATTATTGACTCTTCTGTAAAGGCCAATTGCGTATTGACTCTTTGTTAATAGCAAATTGACTTTAAGGCAATGTAACGAACAATATCTAGATATTGAGGAAATAATACTTTTTATTGCTGTGTAAAAAACCCTTAAACAAAGGACAAAAAGTCAATAGCAGTCTGAGAATGCAACAAGTAATAACTTTTGCTGTCGTCGCAGCTTATGCGGCCGGGGACGACGATAACTTCGTCATCCTGGCGGTAGCGGTGCGCACGCTGAGGACTGCTCTGGCCACCCAACGCGACTCCCGCATCGAGAAGCTGCCCGTCACCGTGGACGTGGACGAAGACTGTGAGAGGGTACCTGTTCCTACACTCTCATTTACAATGTAGTTCGATGTAGTTTGTTGCGCGTAAGCAGTGCACGAAACTGCATGCGTTTCAAAATGCATGAATTTGTGCGCAACTACGCACTAAAATCCTTAAAAACATTCTTTCACGCCGTGAATCGCTTAATGCCCTTGGGGGGCGTTAATTAGTTGGGACTTTCAGGCCTATTATCACGGTGTAGGGAGAGACGGTGGGGACACTAGGCGCTACGGAGTGAAGCCCGTTTCTGGACGTTCCGTGGTTCCAAACGCTCCGCCAGGATGCGCTGTTCCCCATGTGGGCCGGGGTGGTGGGGGAAGTGGGCCGGCTCACTATTGGCTGGTGGCTGGCAGCCGCGCACCGCCGCGCACCGCCGCCAGCGGCCAGCCAATAGTGAGCCGGCCCACTTCCCCCACCACCCCGGCCCACATGGGGAACAGCGCTACTAGCGGAGCGTTCGGAACTACGAAACGGGCCAAAAACGAGCTTCACTCGGCCGCGTGGCGGAGGGCCAGTGTTGCCAGACGTACCACCTTGGTGGTACATGTACCACTATTTCAAGCCCCGTACCACCGTACCACCACCGAGCGATTCCGTACCACCTTTTCCGGGAAAACACCGGATTAGGTCCGCACGCAGGCAATTGGAACTTTTCGGGCGCCTGGGTCGCGTTGTCGTCCCCCAGGAGTCGAACATGTAATCCTTTGCCTGCGTTCGTGACCTATTCCAAGGAAAGGGGCTTTGGTCGGACAGGTCGGGCGCGGGAAACTGAAAGTAGAGTGCCACTTTTGGGCCCCGTCCTGGGGACGCGGGCAACAAAACGGGCCTGCTTGCTTGTACCACGGTGACCACGGTGGAGGGAGATACGGTGGCGGCACGGGGCCCGCTCCGCCTGTACTTGCGCTGGCTGGCTGGCTCGAACACCCGTCCGGCCTACCTGCGGTCCGGGCCGCGCACCCTTCCTGCCGCTGCACAGGGCTCAGCTTAGCCGGGACGGGGTCCGGGCAATCCCCGCCGCTCCGCCACGCCACGGCCGGCGGCGTTTGACGAGTCGGGTCCAGCCGAGCGGGTGACCGAGTCCACCCGAACACCGTTCGGCCCGCGCGCCTCTCGGCCCCGGCACCTCTGGGCTAAGCTGACCCTTGTCCAGCGGCGGGAAGGGTGCGCGGCCCGGACCGCAGGTAGGCCGGACGGGTGTTCGAGCCAGCCGTCTAGCGTCGCGCGCGCCATCTCGTGAGCGGTAGAAAAACCCTATCTCGTCCCAAAACGTGCTTCACGCTGGGCAGCCCCGTGCCGCCACCGTATCTCCCTCCGCCGTGACCGTGACCGTGCCTATTATCTATGAGGACGCGTTGACTACACGCCGAGGACAGCGCAGTGAGTACACTGCTGGGTTTGCCTCGTAACCACGACTGTTGTTTTTCAGGGGCTGACGGAGGCCATGAGAACCTCGATGAGATGGTACCAGGAGACGCTTTCTGCCGGGCTGAGGCGGGTTGCCGTTGAGTGGCTGCGGGAGACGGCCGGCGTGGCGTGGTTGTCCGAGGCGGAGCTGTCGCGCGCCGCCCTCGTCAACCACGTCTTGGGCGAGTCTGTCTTTGACCGCGACATGAAGGTCAGTACTCTATGTGCTGCCGCGAAAGCTTTTGCGAATATCTCGGCTGCATTTATTTTAAATGATCCAGGAAGCGGGAGAAGGGAATGTAACTCCAATGCAATGCACTCTTGAAACCTTACGAAGTATTTTGAGCATACATACAACAAACTAAAATACTTTGTTATACGAAGAAATAGTTCGTAAATTACGAAGTATTTTCTTTGTAAGCTTACGTATGCTCTAAATACTTTGTTACAAACTACTTTTCTTTGTAAGGCCCAAAATAGTTTGTAAGGTTTTCCCAGTGTGCACTCGGGTGGAAAATTGGGTACTTCGGAGAAAATCTAGACCGGAAGTCCACGACAATGGCCGTGCTGAGTGGGGGTAAAGTGCGCGCGCCGCCTTTCCATGTATTTTGCAGTGTACATTCCGAACGCAAGGGTTCCCTGAAAACACGCCAGAATTACGGCAGCTATTAAAGTGCATTCCTTTTGTTCCCAAACCGCTGAAACCAAAATTCCGCTCCCCTGAGTTATTTTTATTTTTGCGCAATTTTGACTAGATCCACATGGGATTTCAACTCTGGCACACTTCCCACACCAAGGAAAAATTGTTCTCTCGGTTAGTAACTTTAGATTTTGACTTTCAGTCCTCCCGACGGGAACACATTGTTGCCCCAACGTTGCCCCCAAGGTGCCGTACGTTGCCTACGTTTCGGGCCCGTTTAGGTTGCCTGACGACGAGCTGGCAACGTCCATTGAAGAGCACCCTTACGTAGTTCGGGCGCCGTTTGGGCTCACTGCCAATGCAGGTTGACACTCTGATGCCTGACACGGTGCACACATATCACTTTGCAAATTTTGATGACTGAGTTGCTCTGATGTTAAGCCTCTTCTTTAATTATGCTGCGCAACTAAGCATGTAATAAGATATGGAGTTCAAATTCCTATATTTCAGGGACCAAGTTATATCAATTAGTATAAAGATTGACTCTAGCAAGATCCTTGCATAGACAGTATGATGAATTGTTCATATTGAATGTATAGCTTTCCACTTCAATTAACTGAAAACCTGACATTTTTTATTATCTTTATAATTATTACCAGAGTCTTTGCAGACTCTTTCTTATCATAGTGTAACAAACAGAAGGTTAGTTTGACATAAAATTAACACAAATATTAATTTAATAATTAACAAATTGTTGTGTTTTGGCTCTAATATACGATTGCAGAGAGTGTCGAACTTTTCATACAATTTGTTGAGAGTTGATCCCTAAACTGTGCGAGAGAGGCAGTGCAATGCTTTTGTCTCTGTGCACTGTCAGGATCTTTGAGAAGAAAGTATGATCAATTCTTCAAATTTACGTTATTAATGTCAAAACACCTATTTATTTCTCACCATCCGATGTTTTTCCAACTTTTTTTGGAAATGTGATCGTGTTCTCAAATTCCTTCTGCTGCCCATGTCCATGTCCAATAATCCATGTCTTAGTCCCTCTGACTTTATTTTAGGCCAAATTAATTCTGAATTTCTTTTTTAAAAACTGTGTTTTGGGTAACAGTTTACTACAGTAAATGAAAAATTTCCATCTAAATTAAAAATAGAGTTAAGACTTCAACTATGCTGGAAAAGCTTTATCATTAAGTAAACAAAATGTACAAAAAATTTCTTTCTGTATCTCAATGGGACATGACATTTGATTTTGATAGAGTAAGGTGACTTTTCTTACCTAATATCAAATGATATGCTTTTCAGAACCTTATTCACTTTGTTCCTGTGGGCTGTCTGGGTGACTGCAGCAACCATTTATTTTGAGATGCTCCATTTTTTGGCCCGTCCCGTTTATTTTTTGTAAAAAAATGACGGAGGGACGGGCATATAGTATGATGCATGCTGTGCGTCCGTTCGTTCGTTCGTTCGTCCGTTCGTTCGTCCGAGGACTTCCCGTTTCCGATCTTGCCCAAAATTTGGTATGCAGCCCCCTTTGGGGTTGACCCTAAGAACCGCCCGGTGGCAGCAAATCCGATCCGAGCCCCGGGGGCGCTGCTGCAGGTGCATCATGGTCTACAGGGGGTCGAGGAGGATCTCGGCAACGGATGCAGCTAGCAGGCATGTGGGGGTATTTTTGGAATCGGTGCGACGAAAAAAAAACCAATGGTGCCACTTTCGAACGAATCGGAGAAGTTCGGACCCGGGTTCAAATCCCAGGGGGGTTTTTCGGAACATTTTTTTATTCGAGTTTTTGCATTGTTTCTGATGTTTTTGAGGGTGCTGATGACAAAAACGACATTTATTTTGACCCTAGACCCGGGTTTTAAAATTCGTCGGGGTTTAAAACAAAGGCGAAATTCAAAATTTTTTTTAAGGGGGGGACCCTGGTGAAAAAATCCCCAAAAATTCCAATAAATAGTTTTTTCAAAGTTCATAGAAAAAAATGTGCATAGAAGGTTTCAGATTCAACAGGTTGAACCCCTTTTAAAGCAAAAGGGGGTAGTTTTTTTATCATTTGGAAGGAAATAACATTGAGATCATTTGTCGTTGGCTTCTACGCTCAACTTCACAGCTTTGCTCAGTCGACAAAAAATTTGTCGTAGAAAGACTTCCTGCGTTCCTGGTTGACACCTACATGAGTCGTCTTGCATGGACTCTATTCATTGATGACTTGTCGAAAAATTTTAGTGACGGAATCTTGATATCAGCCCTACTTTTTTTAAAACACACCTAAAAGTTTGAAAAAAGGGAAAAAAATCACTTTTTTCTTAATGTCAAAATTTGAAAACTCATATCTCAGGACAGAAGTTGAATTTGAAAATTCCGTCACTAAAATCTCTTCTATACATCTTTAGGATAACCCAAAAAAATTTTCAAGACTTTCCGTCCCAATGAAAGACGCAGGAAGATTTTTCCCCAACGCTCCAAAAAACACTAAAAAGCCGCTTTTCTCAGAGACCGTTCAACATTTTGGATTGAATTTTGTTTTGGGAACTCACCATAATGAACCTAATAATTAAGCAAAGTTTCAACTTCCTGGGATTATTTTGAAGCCTACTTGAAAGTTTCACCAGGGTCCCCCCTTAATGTACGGGACGGGCCAAAGTTGCCGATGTATATCGCTACTTTTCCTGTTATTAAAAAACTGAATTGAATGTGCTGTCTATCATGGCTAAAGAGCTTTTTGGTTTTAGTACCATGTGTATTTATTGCAGTGAATGTTATATTGCTGACTGGGTGAGAGACAGTTGCGCGTCAGATAGTCAGAGTATAATTATTATGCAAACATGTAAACTGAACTGCATTTTCGGTTTTTGAAATTTTCACAGCAAGGCATAGTATTGGATGGGCGAACGATATGCATTACAAGTTATTTAAATGTACTCACCAAAGACTGAACTGTGCGTCCCCACTTAACTCTAGACTGGCGTGCCACTATGGCGGACGCGGACGGACGCGTCACCTCACGGCTCGGCTCGCGGCGTCGCGGATCCGCGAATGCAGGCCCCCCGCCCGGCCGCGAATGCAGACCGCCCTCCCCTCCCTTCCCCTTTCGTCTAGATGCTACACGCTTTAACCCCGCACCCACGCCACCCACGGCCCCCGACCCCCCGCGCTACGTTGGACGTTGGACTTGCCTTAGACTGCTCTGTGAGTTCCAGTTTCCGAGTCGACACTGTACGTTGCATGGGAGCTGTGTCGCTCTCGCTGTCTGCCGGCTGTATGGGGAATGGGGACGAGCGAGAGCGAGCAGCAGGCTGGCTAGCAGACCGAAAATAACGATCTCCCCTCCTCCAAATCCCCCCGCCAGGTGTGGTATAGGGTGCGCCGAAAGGTGTTACTATAAGGGGCCAAGAGGTTTCCTCTTCTTTGTCCACCTGGCGAAGGAGGGAGTACAGGTATGTACAGTCGACTCCCGTTAGCTGACCACCCTTGACCATTCGATAGTTGGCACGGAGCGGCACGGAGTCATCCCCACCACCTCGGCCCGGGCAGCGCGGCCAGGCCCAGCCCGGCCGAGGGTCTGGCCGGCCGGCGAGGGATTACCGGCGGCTTAAGAGGATATGGTACACCTCCCCAGAAGCGGCATTTCCAGGGCCGCGCAGGGACCTCTTTCTAAAGCCGTCCTGGCCACACCGTTCGAGGTATCGATATGAAAATTGACACACGGGCTCAGAAGGGATCAATCTCAATGACGGTGCGTCCAAAAAAATTTTTTTAACGCCTAAGTTAGGCCCCAGGGCAGTCCAGTTCTGGTCCAACTTTCGTTCACAACAAATCCTCAGAAAAAAGGAATATCCAAAAAAGGGCCACGGCACGTTGTAGCTGCAACTTTGCTCTATCCAGAGAAATTGTCCCCATCTGCGTGCGGTCAAAAATAGAGATCAAAACCTGGTAGACGGCGGACCTCTGCCGGCGGGTTTGGAGCTAGTCGGAGAGAGGAGGGCAATATTTGTGCCGACGAGCTGTACCGTCTCCAAGCCCCGCACATGTTGTCGCCGACTTTGTTTCACTGAATGGGGACTGTCGGGCTGCCCACCCTCACCCGAGAGGTTCGGCACCGTGACAGGTCGATTTATGGCTCTAGGCTGTACGGGCCCAAAATTTTAAAAAGGGGGCATTTTCTAGTTTTGAAAATTTTACGAAGATTTGGCGTGCTATTCTGGTGACAGGCAACTAAAATTTTAGTTTCTATGACCATTTGACCCGGACCTGTTGAAACAATGACAAAGGTCAAAATTATCGTAGAAAATTAAAATTTGATTCGCCTGGCACAAGGGAAACACGCGCTGAGTGCAATGGTTTTCCTGAGAGTCTAGAGTCATCCGTTAAAAAATTTAACTCTCGGAGTACAAGGCCATAAATCGAGCCGTCACGCTCCCGACCCTCGGCTCCGGCGCGTAAATGAGGGGGGGGCCCAGCGGGGGCCCGGCGCAGAGAAAAGCAGCGGGCTGCAGGCGGGCCGCCCGGAGGGGGGCGGGGGGGGGGGGGGTTAGTAGAGCTCTTCTGCGACAGTTCCTTTTCAA